ATGAAATGTAGCTGTGGAAATAGCAGGGATGAGTACCTTGGAGGTTTGTGTAATCACTGATCAATAACTATGCTATTTGAAAATGATAGGCATTGCAGTCCAACATATTTAAAGAGCACCAAGCTTGCCACTACATTAAATAATTTGCCATACAAATAGTGACTTAGAATTGTACAAATACATCTATTTTTTGGTTCCTTTGTTGCATTTATTTTCCCACTTGTATTTACCATAAACATTTTGGAAACAAATGTTAATTCTTTTAAAAGGGTTAGTGCAAAACCCCTCTCAAATATTATGGCATTATGACAGAATCGTTGTTTTTCCTTTTGCAAAGGGAACTGCAAACCAGTGTATCATAATTTAAGGCTACAGTTTTTCTTCCTTAAGTAGAAACAGAAGTGATTTGACCGAAAAGGGTGTTTGCATCCTACCCTTTGATGACTTAATCTCAGTGCAAGAGCAGTATGTAAAAACATTCTTGTTTTGAACATAGGGTTGTGTGAAGTGCTTGAGCACACCAGTGTTGCAGTGACATTTATGCATTCTTTTTGATGGACAACTACAATAGAGCAAAATGAGCAGGCCATCTCAAACTATCACTGTCTGATAACTGAACCGTTATCTTAATGTCAGGCTTTTTTTTTAAAAAAAATTCAAATCGTTCCTTTTTCTTGCTCCAATTACAGTGTTATAGCAAACATTTTTTGGTTCTCCTATTCTGTAGGCAAGATCAAGATACACTGTCAGAGTGTTGCTTTCATATGAGGAAGAATATTCTGAACATGTATGTAAAACATGTTTCTTTTAAATGAAGTTATCCTATAAAAATAATATTTTTAACCATTTTTAACAGTCTGTATTTTTCCATTCGACAGGTTACCAGTTTAGGGCTGAATTTCTATTATTTTTGTCTTTTAAAATATATCAGAGATTACACATTTATTTTTTAAAATAGCTAATACAATCTTAAAGATTTGCAGAAACGCTGAGGATAAAAAAGGAATACTGGAAGCTTGCTAGATATACACATGAACTATCTCTTCTGGTCATATCCTAAAAAAAACCTGTTAAATAGTTTGGAAGAGATCCAGTAAAATTCAAACTAATGTTCTGGAACATGGTAATTAAGGCAATATAAATTAAAAGGGAGTCAAACTGTTTCTTCTTTTAGCCTGTATTTGCAGGAATTTGGCCCAGAGCTAGGATTCTTTGTTTGAAAATGCTTTTGTTGATCTTCTGACATTATCTGTACAGTTTTCAAAAGAGTTTTGCATTAATGCCTTAATTGCCCTGCAGGTTTGTATACTGATGAGACCATTTCATGGTGTTGGCTTTCAAAGAGAGAATGAAGGATAGTGTAAGAAGCAAACCCAGGCTGCCCCAGATAGATTAGTGAGTGATAAGTTGTTTATGCAGACATTTTAATCAAATTATCTGAGAAATGAATTCATTTTATGAAGTTTGCATAATACGCCCAAACAAAACAGTACTGGTATTTTCTGTCCTGTTATTTCCATGCATGAAGTACACAAGAGTGGCTTAGTATCTTTTTAGGGAGTTATTTTTAATCTAAACTCCACAAGCTCCTTGCTTTAACTTCCTGTTTTTCTTCTGATGTCATTGAGTTCTCTTAGGAGTTCTGTGTTTTCAAAAGTTCATTAGGCAGTATTCAAAAGCACTTGCTTCCCACGCTAGGCAGGTAGACAAAATGTCTGCCAGGAAGCACTGCTAACTTGCTTCCCACGATAGGTGGATAGACAAAATGCCTGCCAGGAAGCAGTACTAACTTGCCTGTGTACAATTTGCATATAGTGTATTTTGGAATGATAACTAAAGGCACTTAATGTCCATTGACTGTTGAAGTATTGAACAATAATTAATTTGATCAATACTGAATTTTTGAAATGTGAAGGAAGCTGTTTTATCATAAAAACACATTCTTGGTGTTTTTACTTTTATATGTCTCATTTTACCAAGAATATTGAATCAAAGTGTGTTATGCTGCAAACTTCTACTATTTAAGGAAATCCTGTTAAAATCCTTCATTTACACAATCCATTATACAAGTAGTTCTCGACTTACGACCATTTGTTCAGCAACCGTTCAAAGTTACAGCATGCTGAATGAAGGGACTTATGACCGGTCCCTGAAGTTATGGTCATTGCAGTGCCCCTGCAGTCATGTGATCAAAATTCAGGTGCTTGGCAGCCTGCCCACGCTTATGACCACAGGGGCACTTCAGCTCCCCCCACCCGCCTATCTTCCCCCATCTCTGCCCTTTTGAGTGCCCTGCACTCTGCTGCTTACCCCTACTGCCCACCGCTTCTGCCAGCTGCCCGCCGTCTTCTTCCTCCTGCTGGTGGCCTGGGATCCAGGCAATGGGTGAGAGTGCAGACCTGGGATGCACATGGTGAGTGCAGCAGGATGGCAGAGCCTCATTTGCCACACCTGGCCAGGGAGGAGGTAGCAGAACAGGAAGGTGTGGTGCTCTCCGTCGCCAGACAAGGCAGGAGAACTGACAGCAGCTCCCTGGGTGAAGGTGGAGGGTATGTGAGAGGTGCTATGTAGGGTGGCGGCAGAACTGGAGGAAGAGGAGGGACGCGGGCTTCCTGGAGACACAGCACGCACTCAGCAGCTTGTGTTGGAAGTGCTTCTGGAAAACCAGTGTGAGGGTTTCAGCAAGGGGTGGAGGCAAGCCCAGCATCAGCAAACCCTACCCGCAGGACCTCTGCTCGCTTTGAGCTCAGCATTCCTCCTGCAAAGCCTCACAAATGGTCAGCAGCTTCCAGCATGAGCTGCAAAGTGCATGCTGGAAGCACCCCTGGAGAACCAGTCTGTGGGCTTCCATGCATTGGAAGCTGCTGGCCATTCATGAGATCATAAGTTCATGTGGTCATAAGTTGAAGACTATCTGTACAGGCATTTTCATACTTCTTTTACAATTCATTTTGTTAGGTTTTGCTAATGTTAGCTGTTCTACTAACATCTGAACAACTCTCAGCAACCCTCACTGTTGGTCATGATGGTCAGTAAAAGGTCCTGACAATTTTAATGGAGCAACTTCCAGAGGGCCACATATTCCCCATGCTTGAGCTAAGTTCTTTTGGCTAGTGTTTCATTGGATTCAACCCTAAGCCTCTATCCTGGCAAAGGCATTGGCTGTATATGCAGTGAAGCATTTCTTTGTCTCAGCTTTTCAGACTTCATTTTGATGGCTTGGATCCAAAAACATGAGTAATCAAAGTCTCTGAAATGGTGAGGGGTTTTCTTCAGAAGATTATAATGGGAGAGAGGAATCAGCACAAATGGAAGGAGGTGCTTTGCGCAAGCAGTAAGGCAGCAGTATTTTCTGCTCTTCCAAGGGTGCTTTTGGACCCATATTATTTTCTAAAGGTGCAAATTTATGCTATAACACAACGTATTTTGCTTTGACTTTTGAGTTTCTCTTGTACTTTACAATAGCTTTGCAAAGCATGGATAGTTGCTGTTTCACAAACAAGAAAAATTCTAGGCAATCTATCGTTAATCACTTATAACACCTTGGTCTGTCCAAGGTACCCTACAATTTGTAAAAGATATATATATTTTAATTAGTTATTTAGAGGAACTGGGTTACTGATGAAATATCAATAGCAGAATACAACAAAGTTTTACTATTGAAGGAGGCATGTTCCTCATAACTTACCCTTAATTTTAGTACTATTGAGACTTGTGTATGTGCCATCTAAATAATGAAAATGTGCCTTCTGCCTTTATAAATGATTAATTTATGCTATGTAGATTTAACTATTTCAACATAGTTAGATTGTTATCATATTAAGTATAATGTTAAGGTGTGTGAGAGAAGTAGGAGTGTTTGAACTTTTCACTTGTTACATTTGAAAGAGAAATATCCCTCATAAAGGAATTTAATTCAAATGTTATATATAAGTTTACTCACACATATTTTTGTTTTTAATAAAATGTCTCCTTGATGAGTTTTATATTTGCCATTTCTGTTCCCTTTCCTTCTCTTACTTTAGATGGTATCTATTTGTACTGCTATTACTTAAAGGCACGTTTTCAGTCTGTCTTAATCCAGGATTTTGCTAATTATCAACATTCCCACAGGGACCAGTCTGTAGTTCTAAATGAGCTACACAGAGCATACTTCATGTATTTGTTTTGAGGCAAAGATAGTCCTGATAATCAGTGCTATTTTGTATGATTTAGTCCCCAAAGAGAGAGGGGTTTAGGCTGATCTCAATGATGTCCATTTGAGAGAGATGCAGTTGCTCTAGATTTATTTGCATAGTGCAGAGGTTTTCAACCTTTTTCATCTCACAGCACACATCTCATAGGTGGAACTTCCGTGATGTCACAGGTTGCTGGGACTCAAGGGGAGAAATGGAGGCAGTCCACCTCTGGTGATGATGCAGCACAGCTGCGGACCTTTCGCAGCACACCAGTGTGTTGTTGCAGAGCAGTTGAAAACCAGTGGAATAGTGTGAAGTCCTACTTAGTCTGCATATTCTTGACCTTTAAAGTAAAATATTGCTGATGCTTTTTTTTTTTTTTTTTACTTTTTAGTTCAGATGCTGGCTCCAGCACTATTTTTTAATAATTATTTGGCTCATTCTGCTTGTAATTTCTAACATACCACAGTAGGGACAAAAACTAATAAATAAGCAGTAGGGAAAATGCAGACACTTTAGAATCAAGTAAGAATTTTGTTATGTACTTTTAGAGGAGGGGATGGGAAAGTTGGGTGGCTGGATAAAAAATGTGTTCTACTGCTCCCGCACCAATACTCGGAGCCACCAAACATTATGAGTGTTTTGCCATTAATGAGATTCTGCTTTTGTAATTCTGCTTGTGTATTCTGGCCTAAAATTTTGGATCTCAGATTTGTGCTCTTAAAATGGAGCTTACTGTCAACTTTATAGTTCTTTACCAAGCCTATTATGTCTTTGTTTGCAAAACATTCTCATTCTGGTACGCATTTTTTGTTTTAACAGAAGGCGAGTATATCAAGATGTTCATGCGGGGACGGCCCATCACAATGTTTCTTCCTTCAGATGTTGACAAATATTACGAAATCAAGACAGAGCTGCCCCCTGAGAAATTAAAACTGGAGTGGGTG